CTGGTGTGGGTCAGTGGTTGAGTTTCAGCCCATAAGCCAAGAGGTCACATGCCTATGTTGCTGGCTTGACCCCCAATAGGGGGCATGCAGGAGGCAGCCAATCCACAATGTCTCTATCTCTCTATCCCTCTCCCTTCCTCTCTCTCTCAAAATCAATTAAATCTATATATATTGCCTGTCTGGTTTGAGGCATAGACATTATTATATGACCAAAAAGGCACTGATTCTACCCAGGCACTTGAATATAAGGTTAAGATGCTACAGTATAGCATCTTATATTTTTTTTTAAGGGCAGATGTTAATCTATCAGTTATCTTGGCCATAAAAAAACATCATCATAACCCCTATAAAAAGTGAGATTTTGAATAGAACTTTGTTTTTGTCGGCACAGCATAATGAAGGGGTTTAAGAGCATGATGCTTGCCCTAACTGGTTTGGTTCAGTGGATAGAGCGTTGGCCGGTGAACTGAAGGGTCCCAGGTTCGATTCCGGCCAAGGGCATGTACCATGGTTGCAGGCACATCCCCAGTAGTGGGTGTGCAGGAGGCAGCTGACCGATGTTTCTCTCTCATGGATGTTTCTGACTCTGTCCCTCTCCCTTCCTCTCTGTAAAAATTCAATAAAAATATATTTTTTAAAAAAGAGCATGAGGCTTGAGGACTATGTGGGCTTAAATCTTACTTCTTTGTCTTTGCCCTAAGACATAGCTCTATGCCTCAGTTTCATCATCTGTAAAAATAGTAGTTCTCCTCCCTCCCCTGGCAGAGTTGTTGAGAGGATTAAATAATATAATATTAGAACATTATAATACACTTAGAACACTGCCCTATGTTCTAATATTCTAGTAAATAATGAGTATGTGCTACTGTGCTGTTGTTGATGTCTTCTTCTAGAGGCAAAATTAGTCTGTTCTGTGGGGTTAACTAATTAGTATTGTGTGTTTAAACACTGGAGAATGTCTTTTTAACGTAATTGTTGTGTTTTATTAAAGTTAATGAATTAAATTCTGGTAAGAAATAGCTAACAGCCATTTTCTTGCTGAGATAAAATAGAGATTAGCTATGAGATGTTTAAACCTAGACATTGTTCCACAAGCGAATTAAATGGAGACATACATTGCTTACCATTTTGAAGACAGCTAATATGGTTCTTGGCAGCCCTGGTCAGTATTGTTCAGTGGTTAGAGTGTTGGCCCTCAGACTGAAGGGTCCCAGGTTCAATTCCCAGTCAGGGGCACATACCTGGGTTACAGGTGTGATCCCAGACCCTGGTCGCAGGAGGCAACCAATCAATGGGTCTCTCTTACATGGATGTTTTCTCTCTCTTCCTCCTTCCCTCCTTTTCCCCTCCTCCCTAAAGATCAGTGGAAAAAATATTCTCCAGTGAGGATTAACAAAATAAAAAAAAAGGAAAGAAAAGATGTTGGCAAACTAATGGAGGAATTTTGAAAAATAGGAAATTATTTATAAACTAGAGGCCCGATGCATGAAATTCAAGAGTAGGCCTTCCTTCCCCCGGCTGCCAGCACCGGCTTCCCTCTGGCACCCAGGACCCAGGCTTCCCTTGCAGCCCCAACTTCGTCCAGAAGGTCATCCAGAAGGATGTCCAGTCTAATTTGCATTTTACGCTTTGATTATTATAGATCAGCCATGGGCAAACTACGGCCCGCGGGCCAGATCCAGCCCGTTTGAAATGAATAAAACTAAAAAAAAAAAAAAAAGACCGTACCCTTTTATGTAATGATGTTTACTTTGAATTTATATTAGTTCACACAAACACTCCATCCATGCTTTTGTTCCGGCCCTCCCGTCCAGTTTAAGAACCCATTGTGGCCCTCGAGCCAAAAAGTTTGCCCACCCCTGTTATAGATAGATGGAGAGACCTATACTATGAATGAAGCTGTACTATGCAGTTTTAAGGAAACTATGTGTAAGAAGTTAGCAGATTAGTCCCATGAATCTTAAGAATTAAGTGTTGAGAAGTCTCCAGGTGACAGAGTTTAGGTTTAGATGATTGATCTGTTGTTTTAAAATAGTTTTCATTTGACCTAGTTAATTAAAAAAAAAAAAACCTGAGATCAATAAACATGGGAACATCACCAATGAAGTTTTTTTTAATATGTTTTTATTGCTATTAGAGAGGAACGGGGAGAGAGAGAGAAACATCAGTGATGAGAGAGAATCATCGATTGGTCATCTCCTGAAAGCCCCCCACTGGGGATCGAGCCTGAAACCCCAGCATGTACCCTAAATGGGACTCGAACCGTGACCTCCTAGTTTATGGGTCAGCGCTCAACCACTGAACCACACCAGCTGGGCACCAATAAAGTTTTGCAAAGCCAATAGAAATTATGCTTCTGTTAATGTTCTTTTTTTTTCGAAATGTATTTCTTTTTTTTTTAATATATTTTTTATTGATTAAGATATTACATATGTGTCCCTGTCCCCACATCACCCTCCACCACCACCCCCACCCCCCCGTTGTCCGTGTCCATTGGTTAGGCCTCTATGCCTGCATGTAAGTCCTTTGGTTGCTCTTTCCCCTTTACCCTCCCCTCCCCCACCCTC